CCCGAGGAAGCACTACAGGCCTCCAGAGCAAGAGCCCAGTCGGGAGCACACAGCTTTCCATGGTCTGGTCCCACTGGCTACGCCTACTGACCTGGCAAGTAACTGTAAGAAAAGACTCAAACTAGATTTTTCAGAGATTTAACTCTACCACTACAGTAATTCGTTTTATCTATAAGCATATTTGAGATCAGGTCTCACTAAATTTGCCTGGGCTAAGCTTAAACTTGTGATCATTCTGCCTCAGCCTATAAAGTAGCTAGGATTTTTTTTTCTTTTTTTCTTTTTGGCAGTACTGGGGATATAACTTGGGACCTTGCGTTTGTGAGGCAGGCAGCAGCACCACTGAGCTAAATCCCTGGCCCTAGGATTTGTTTTTTGAGACAAGGTTTCTCTATGTTGTTCAGGCTGGCCTCACAGGGATCTTCCTGCCTCAGCCTCCCCAGTACTGGGATTACAGGCATGCACCTCCTTGTGTAGCTGTCCATTGTTTTTTAAACAAGGATACTTAAGATCTTTTTTTTGTTTTGTTTTGTTTTGTTTTTTGGTACCAGGGATTGAACTCGGGTCCTTGTGCTTGCAAGGCAGGTGCCGGAACCACTGAGCTAAATCCCCAGCCCAAGATCTTTTTTTTTTGGAGGCAAAGTGTACAGTTTTCTTTGGTACCAGGGATCGAACTCATGACCTTGTGCTTTCGAGGCAGGTGGCAGAACCAATAAGCTAAATCTCCAGCACTACAGTTTTATTCTTAATGCCAGTGGGTCAGTCTGGGACTTCTACACAAAGAGACTGACCAGATCTATTTTTCTCGATGGTAAGAAAACAAAATTTTATGCAAATGATAATACTGGCTCTAATATGAAAGAAAAATAAGCAAATTATGTACATGATATACAACGTTAGGCTACAAGCAAGTATCTTGTCATATGAGAAACATGCTAATCTACAAGTTATGTGAAAATAAATCAGCTTTGTCAAAAATATGTTCACAAGTTACTGAAAACATTTATCTTTAATATCAAACATGGCATCAATTTCAAAAATATATTTTGTTACACAGAATACACACCAAAAATTTAAAAAGAAGTTAGTGGCAAAATCCTAACAATTAACAAATCCACTGGGCCAGAGATGTAGCTCAGTGGTTCCACAGCCTGCCTGGTAAGCACAAGGACCTGAGTTCGATCCCTGGTACCACACACACACAAAAGAAAAGACGCTGAGTAATTAGCACATCTATTAACAAAATTAAGTTTTTTAGTGGCCTATATCTCCCAATAATAAAGACTAAACAAAAACTACATAACTACTATTTGAAAGTAAAAAATACATTTCAATTCACCATGCTTAATTAGAAGACACTATGTGTTAAGCTCAAAGACACAGAAAAACTTCTGTCATCTCAATATTTTTATAATAAACACTGCAGATATATAATCCAGATAAATATTTAAGTGATTTACTGAAAAAACACATAATGTATGCACTTTAGCCTATCTCCATCTGGGATTTTATTTTCTGGAAATTTTATACAGAAATACTGATATCAAGCTTTTTGTATCTATTAATTATTCCCACAGGTCTCCACAACGTAAGAAATTTTCATGGGATTTTCAAAATAGACTTATGTATATAGTTTCTCCCCAATTAGACTTTTGTCATGTTTTAAAGGCAGAACAGAAGTGGAACATGTGACACACTCCTGCAATCTTAGCGCTGAGGAGGCGGAGAAAAGGCCAAGTCTGAGCAGAGTCTGGGCAACTCAGTGACTCACTGAGTCCTTGGCTCAAAATTTCAACAAACAAAGCTGGAAACGTAACTCCATGGAAAAGCCCCGGGTTCAGTCCCAGTAGCACAGCCCTCAAAAAGGCAGAACAAAAAAATGATTCTATTATTCCAATTATGTTTCCATTATGTACATGTATGTATGTTCTAAAGCCTTGACAAGATGATGGAAAAATTAGAAATTTTTTTAGAGTGGGAGTTGAGACAGGGAGGGTCTCATGTAGTTCAGGCTGGCCTTTAACTATGCATCCCAGACTGGCCTCCAATGGCTATCCTGCCTCAGCCTCCCCTGGGCTGGGATCACATGCGTTTGCCAGTAGACTCAGCCAGAATTTTTACTTGAAGGGTTAAAAATATTTTTGTTTCAATTAATATTATGTTAACCTAAGCAATATATTTTATTTATTTATTGCAATTTTTAGTCTTATAAAATCCTTTTTTCTTTCCAAGTCTAACTTCTCAATTAGAATTTTATAGAACATAACATTGTGAGTCAAATATAACTTTGGAATTCAGCATATAAAGTTCCACTTCTTTTTTTGATACTGGGGATTGAACTTGGGTCCTGCGCTTGCAAGGAAGGTGGCAGAAGCACTGAGCTAAATCCCCAGCTGAAGTTCCACTTTGATTGTTAAAAAAACAAAACAAAACAAAAAAACTCTTATACTATCAGTGTTTATTCAGGGGAAAAAAAACTTTTCAGCAAACAGCTTCTGTGCAGAAGCATTTTTTTTTTTTTTTTTTTTTTTTTTTTGGTACCGGGGATCACACTCAGGACCTTGCACTTGCAAAGTGGAAGAACCACTGAGCTAAATCCCGGGCCCCACCTTCTGTGTTTCACTGAAATATTCTTAGCTTTGTTAACTAACTGTCTCCCTCATCCATTTTAACACTATTTTACATCACACCCATCCCTTTCGTTTGGAAAATGTTGAACACGAGGGGAAAGAAGCACATCTGCTCTGGCATGAGGCCACGTTTTTTTTAGTACCTCGGATCAAACTCAGGCCCTTGTGCTTGCAAGGCAGGTGGCAAAACCACTGAGCTAAATCCCGGGCCCAGAACCTTACACTTTTGAGCTAAATCCCAGGCTCCATGAATTACTTTTAATTATGGTTTATACCTAAAAATATTCTTCCCTAATCTTTAAAATCTGAAAATAATGGTTTAGCTCCCAGGAGTTAAATATATACCACGAATAAAGTCCTGTTAGTCCAGCAGGCATGGCGGCACACACAGGAAGAGGCAGAAGGGATGGAGTTCAAGGCCATCCTGGACCACCCTGTGAGACCCTGTCTCAGAAAGAACAAAAGCCCTTCTGTAAATACCATTTGGAAGACACACTTTGGGGGGGGACCAGGGATCTCAAACTCACAACCTTGTGCTTGAGGCAGGTGCAGTGTCACTGAGGTAAATCCCTGGCCCACACACCTATGTTCTTAATTCAGACTACCAAAATAATTTGATTCATATAAAGTATACATTATGTATAAGTTTTATTCTATATTGTATTGTACTTGATAGTGCTCAATCAATATATTACAATATTTTAAGCAATTAAAACCTTCAGCCGCTGACTGCCTCACAAGCACAAGGACCTGAGTTCGATCCCGGCACCAAAAAAATAAATAAATAAAACAAAACTTCAGCTAGTTTTTCATATACTCTAATCTGGTTTATATTGTAAAAGAACAAGAAATGGAGATAAATATGGAGAGCTTTCTAAAAAAGAATAAAGCCAACAGATAAAACATTAGTGATTAAGAATACTGAGGAGGGACAGGGATTTAGCTCAGTGGTTCCACCGTCTTGCCTCGCAAGCACAAGGTCCCGAGTTCAATCCCAGGAGCGCCCCCAAAAAAAGTTATTGAAGGAAGCAAAAAACGCCTATTGATTGTTTCAACAAAAGCAGAGAACATGAGCGCCACCTGCCTCACAAGCACAAGTTCCCAAGTTCAATCCCCAGTACTAAAAAAAAAAAAGATATAAGAAACCACAAAAACCCAAGCAAGTAAAATGGAAGACAAAAATTACAAGACAAGATAAGATAGGAACTATGAAACTCTTAAGTTGCCAGGGATTTAGCTCAGTGGTTTGACCACCTGCCCTGAAAGTGCAAGGCCCCGAGTTACTTCCCCCCAGCCCAAAAAAAAAAAAAAAAAAAAAAAAAAAAAAAAAAGCAATCAATGGAAAAATAGAGAAGACAACACTAAAATTCTAAGTACCCTACAACTCTAGTATTTATATAACCAGAGAGCCAGGCATGGTGGCGCACCCCTGTAATCCCAGCACTCAGGAGGCTGAGGCAAGAGGATCACTGTGAGTTCAAGACCAGCCTGGGCTACACAGTGAGTTCCAGGTCAGTCTCAACTATATAGTGAGACCCTGTCTCAATACCCACCCCCAAAATATATATAAAAGAAAGTATAACATATCAGACAGGCGAAATAGACTGTGTTCCTTAAAGAAATATAACTGGCCAGGGATTTAGCTCAGTGATTCTGCCACCTGCCTTACAAGTGCAAGGTCCTGAGTTTGATCCTCGGTACCAAAAAAAAAAAAAAAACAGATCAGATTGACAGGCATTTTCATAATGATTCCTGCAACATTTAATGTAGATCTTCATTCCTGAAAAGCAGATTTCTACAATTAAAAAGCAGTAAGATTCTGTTGCCGACTTTCCAGAGTGAACCCATCATTTTCCTTTTTTAATTCCACAGACTGTCAGCGGCTGAGTGTGGGGCCCACTGTGACGTGCCCTAGCCCAGGCATCTGAGGGCTCCCGAGGATAGGATCTTGTTTAGTGCAGGTGCACAACAGGCTTCCTTATGGAATAATCAGCACAGAGAACCATGCATGCACCACACAGCCTGTGAGGATGCCCAGAATGTGCTATCTTACTATGTCTTCTTAGTAAAGCTGATAACAAAAAAAAACTGCTCTGAGTGTTGTACTGGAAAAAAAGCTTGGTTCCTGCTTTATTGTAACGTCTGCTCCATGCATATTCTTTTTGTTTTTGTTTTTTTGGTGCTGGGGCTCGAACTCAGGACCTCGCACTTGTGAGACAGGTACAGGTGCCACTGAGCTACATTCCCCAGCCCCTATCATGCATGCTTTTTCTTTGAGAACCTTGCCTGGCCAGGCCTCCTTTCAGCCCACCAGGCCTGTCACTGAATTAAAAAAAAGTGAAAATGCCCCATCATGGGTGATTTACTTACAGGTAGTTTGGTGAAGGCTGGGTTGGTGACGTGCTTCCCAAAGGCATCTTCCTGGAACTGGAGAAGCTGCACCACCAGTCCAGCTAGAGTCTTATTGGTAGGAGCATCGGCGTGAACATACTGCAAGATAGAGACAGGGACTCAGCAACTTCTATGACTGCTACAGGGAGGAAGTGGGTTTACCTCCCAGTGCCACAAAGTGCGGGCATCGTGGCAAATTTACTGTGTGAGACATGCTCTTTGCTGCAAAGAAGTTAGAAACACAGGGATGTGTATACGCATAAAAATAATCAAGATGAGTCAAGGAAAGTTGAGGCATGCCTGCAATCCCAACACTCTGGGAGGCTGAGACAGGAGGATGGGAATTCATGCCTAGTCTAGACAACTTATGACTTAGTGAGACTATTTCAAAATACAAACTAAAAAAGAACTCAGAGTATAGTTCAGTGCAAAGACAGTAGGTTCAACTCCCCAGTCCCACAAACTAACCATAATAACAAGAACAACAAATATGGGCCTGGTACAGTAGAGTATGCCTACAATCCACAGCTGAGACAGGAGGCCTGAGAGTCCAGGCAACACAGCAAGACCCTTCCCCAAAAGCCGGGCATGGTGGCACACGCCTGTAATCCCAGCACTCGGGAGGCTGAGGCAGGAGGATCGGTTCGTGACCAGCCTGGAGTACATAGTGAGACCGTCTCAAAAGACCAAAAAAGACCCTTCCTCAAAATTAAACAAAAGGAATGTACAAGCATACAATCAAAAATTCCAGTCAGTATTTAAATTAAAACAATTTAATACAGTAAAAGACATTACCATTAATCCCTCTCAAAATACTCCCTCTTGCTTTGAACACATTTATCCCACCCTTCTTGCTACTTTCTTTTGAGACAGGGTCTTGCTATACAGTTCAGGCTGGCCTCAAACTCGAGGTCATCCTCCTAGCTCAGCCTCCCAAGTGCTGGGATTACAGGCGTGCACCACCACGTCTGGCCTTCTTGCCACTTTCCAAAGCAGCTCTGCAAGTAATTCTTTCCTGAGTGTCTTTAGTTGTGCTATACTGGTTGCCTAAATATCCTGAATCAATTAAAAATGTTCACCTTTTGGCCAAGCAGCATGGTACATGATTATAATCCCAGCACTCAGGAGGCTGAGGCCGGAGGATTGCCAGGCATTTGAGGCCAGCTTAAACTACACAGTGAATTCAAGGCCAGCCTCAACTACACAGTGATATCCTGTCTCAAAAAAATAAATACTAAAGTTTTTCCTCTTGTGGTCATGATGGAGAAGCGCGCAAAGTCATGTGGTGGCAAATGTGGTGAGTTAGTTGGATAAGGATACCGACAGTATCTTTATGAGCCGGCCTTTCCACTGGGTGCCCCTCAGCAGCAGCATTCACTGTATTTTTTCTTTACACTTTGTAAAGGTGCTCATGAAAGAGGACTTCCAGAGCTAATGCAAAAAGTGCAAAAGCCAGGCAGGCACAGTGACAGATGTCTGTAATCCCAGCCCAGCCCTCAGGATCTCCAGGCAGGACTCCCTCGAGGTTCGAGGCCAGTATGGGGTACACAGTGAGTTCGAGAGTAGCCTGAAATACATAGTGAGACCCCCATCTCAAAAAAAAAAAAAACAAAAACAAAAAAACCCCAAAGTGGCAAGAAAAATGGACAGGTTACGGTCAAAAGTGAGGGCGAGGGGCAAAGGAAGCTATTGGAGTGTCTTTTACTATTGTGATTTTTTTTTTTTTTTGGTACCAGAGATCGAACTCAGGATCAAACTCGTGCTTGCAAAGCAGGCAGCGGTACCACTGAGCTACATCCCTGATTCTATAATAATTTTTAATTTAAATCCACACTGTATTTTTTGGTCAGCCCTTCTAGTTCAGCGCAAGGTCCTAGGTTCAGTGCCAGTCCGTGAATGAATGAATGGTAAATCAAGGCCTGGGCAGTAGTGTGAGTGGAGTCACCCCTGGCTGCAGGAACCAAAACTGCTGTACTCTGACCTGACAGTGTAACGCACAAGGGCAGTCATTCTTAACAAGCAGCGTTCCTACCTAATGTGTCCTCCTTGGAATGCACACGCTGACTCCTGTACGTGAAACAGCCAGCCTGCAAGTGAACTGCTGCGGACTGGTGTTTGCTTGAATTATTTTATTTTACGCTGCAAGTCAGGGAACTCTAACCAGGAGTCTATTTCTGTGTGACTCACAATCTAAGAGTTTTTACGTTTTTGAATGGTTGAGAGAAAAATTAACATTTTGTGGCTCTTGGACAGTACTGAAATTCAAATTTCAGGGCTAGGGCTCAGTTGTAGATCACTTGCCTCGCATGCCCAAGGCCCTGGGTTCAAGTCCCCAAATTATGCCCCCTAAAATCAAAATATAAATTTTTCTTTTGTTTTTTGACCTTCTGCCCTTAGGCTGGGCAGCAGTGACACCCAGAACTATGCCACACCAATCAGTAGACTGATTTAGTAATCACACCCTTTAACCCAGCATCACACACTCTAGATCCAGCCAGCTCTGAAAAGCTCACCTGTGACCACATGAGGCTGTGGGGAGACAGCTGGACACAGCCACAACACCGCATTATGGCAAGTAGGAAGGAATCAAACAGTGGAGACAAGTTTAACATAATCAAGCATAGAAAAACAAAATTGAACACAGGTGTGTCCAGTTTGTGGCCTGCCCCTCTTGGGCCACTTTTTGATGTTATAATAAAAAACACTTCAAATAAAAGGTTGCTACTTAGTATATACACACATCTGTGTGTGTGTGTGTGTGTGTGTGTGTGTGTGTGCAGACAGGCATGTATTTGAATATTCACGTGTGTTACTGAGAACTGAAGCCAGGGCCTTTGCACTAAACTACATCCACAGCCACTCATTCACTCATTTACTTATTGCAGTACCGAGCTAGAACCCAGGACCTTTGCATTGAGGTACATCCCTGGCCAATCTGCATTTTCAGATAAGGCCTTACAAGTCACTAAGCTGCTCCTCTGGGCTCCAACTTTTTTATTAATTTATTTTATTTTATTTTATTTTATTTTATTTTATTTTATTTTATTTTATTTTATTTTTTTGGTTTTTTGAGGCAGGGTCTCACTGTGTAGTTGAGACTGACCTGGAACTCACTCTGTAGCCCAGGCTGGTCTTGAACTCACAGGAATCCTCCTGCCTCAGCCTCCCCAGTGCTGGGATTACAGGCGTGCACCACCACGCCCAGCTTGAGCTCCAATTTTCAATGCTCCTGCCTCACTGTCTGACAGTGCTAAATTACAGCCCTGCAACAACCTGCTAGCTTTACATATTATATTATATATGCAACCAAGCACAATTCCTCTTCACTCAAAAAGTGGTGGGTAGGGCTGGGCATAGCGGTACCCACCTATAACTCTAGCACTTGGGAGACTGAGGCAGGAGGATCACTGTGAATTTGAGGCCAGCACACATTACATACTCCTGGTTAGAGTTCCCTGACCTGCAGCGTAAAATAAAATAATTCAAGCAAACACCAGTCCGCAGCAGTTCACTTGCAGGCTGGCTGTTTCACGTACAGGAGTCAGCGTGTGCATTCCAAGGAGGACACATTAGGTAGGAACGCTGCTTGTTAAGAATGACTGCCCTTGTGCGTTACACTGTCAGGTCAGAGTACAGCAGTTTTGGTTCCTGCAGCCAGGGGTGACTCCACTCACACTACTGCCCAGGCCTTGATTTACCATTCATTCATTCACGGACTGGCACTGAACCTAGGACCTTGCGCTGAACTAGAAGGGCTGACCAAAAAATACAGTGTGGATTTAAATTAAAAATTATTATAGAATCAGGGATGTAGCTCAGTCTACTACTACATAATGAAACCCTGCCTCAGAAAAACAAAAAATAAAAATAAAAAAGGGTTGGAACAGGAGAACAAAGCAAACAGGAGGTTGCACATGACAAACATGGCTCTCAGATTTTAGCATGCAACCAAGTCAGGAGTCTGAGCTCCATGCTCAAAAGGACTCTACTTCAACAGGTCTCTACCTCAGCAGGTATCTAATTCACTAAGTTAGGCACAGAACCTTACATTTCAAACAAGGCCCAGGTGGCACTACTGTTTTGGGAACTACATGTTAAGAACACTGGACTTTGGGCCAGGGATTTAGCTGAGTGGTTCCACAGCCTGCTTCACAAGCTCAGGGATCTGATGCGTTCCATCCCCAGTACAAAAAAAAAGAACACTGGACTTCAGCCAGAGATTTAGCTCAGTGCTTCCACTGCC